GAGCATTGTACCCAAAGTTGGCTACATCATTTTGACCAGAAAGTTCCACAATCACCTTGACCTGGGAGTAAAAACACAATAATTGTAAATTAAAAAGTAACAGTGTAGCTGCCCTTTCAAGACGACACCCTAAATTAGCTGCCTCATTCAATTTAATAACGGTCAGATACTGAACAGCTCAGTTCGTTAGAGTATGGTGCTGATATTGTCATGGTTGCAGGTTTGATCCCTGTGTGGGACAACTGCTTATTCCTGCATTGCAAAGGGTTGGGCCAGATGATCCTTCCAACTCTTCAATTATATGATTCTATTATTCTCTTGCATGTTCAGCTAAGCTAGTTTTAGAGAACAGATGCAACTTTTGGGTCCATCTTTGTCCTGCATATTTCATCCTTTAAGAAAGCAAAAATTGGCCTGGCTTGGGTGGCCTGGAATAGAAAAGGCTGCCGTTTATTTTGGCCCAGCGAAGGGCCAAAGCATCCTGCCGGGCGCTGTCCCCTGACGTCCCACGTGGGAAAGTGAGCTTGTGGGTTTGTCTGGTGGGCTGCCCCCACCTCCTTTTAGCCGGAAGAAGAGGCTGTGTTTACTGGGGAGGGATGGCATTTTTTGCTTTGTGAAGATGATAGTTTCTCAACTGCTAAAACCACTTTGTGTAAAGAGATACCCTCTCCCGCCATGTTAACAAAAGCTAAGAATAAGTCAGCAGGAGGAGCCTTTCTAAAACTCATTTCTTAAACGCTTTCTTGGAATGGGGAAGATTATAGGATGCCGCTTAAAAGAGTTACATGATATCTCCTTGTGCAAAAATAGCAAAACCATATCTAAAAAGGACACATTGAGGCTGTTGTATAAATGGCAGTTTTTAAAAATAACATACCCAAGGAATGTCCAGTGAAATCCTGCTTGTTTGACTCTGTGGGTTACACCACAGAGGTTGTTTTAGCCTCCTGATGTAGGGGGGAGAATCTGGGTCAGTAGGCAACTCAGATTTTGGCTATCAATAGAGGCCCTTTCTGTGGCACTTTCTCACCTTGAAATGCAGTGAGAAGCAGCCATGGGTGTCCTGACCCCTTTGTGGAGCAGAGGGTCTTGCAACCAAGCCTCATTCAAACAGACCCACAGAGGAGGAGGAGAGCCTGGCAATATCTCCCAGGCTCATGAATGAAAGCCCACAACAGGAAACGTGACTGGGATAAAAATGAAACCCTTTAATGGGGTCCGGAGGCTCTGCGATCTGAAGCATTTGTATATCTGAAGTGAGCCAAAGAAGAAAAGGATTGCTGGGAATGCTCTCAGGCCATCCAAGTGTCCCTATTTTCCAGGGAGGCCACTGATTCCAGATTTGATCCTGGAATGTCCCACTTTTCCTTAGGATATCCCTATTTTCACTGGAGAACTGTTGAAGGGTATGGCGCTATCCGACCCCGGAGCTGAAGGCAATCTTATATAATGTTTAATTTTTTTTATGCTGTTTTTATTGGAAGCTGCCCAGAGTGGCTGGGGCAACCCAGTAAGAAGTGTGGGGTATAAATAGTAAAATTATCATTGTGGAATGGGACGTCCCTATTTTCATGAGAGAAATGTTGGAGAGTATGTGCTCTGGGAGGCCTGGCATCAACATATTGGGGGTGGCCAGTGCCACAGGGATCCCCAAGCCTGTCCCCATCCCACTTCAAACACCCTTGTGCCTTGAAAAGCATTCCTTTGGGAAGAAGCTGGGTGCTGCTGCTCCTGCAATCCCAGACCTGCTTTGGGACTCAGTTAGAACGTCCTCCTGGTTAAACAGGCACAGGACTGGGCTGCATCCATTTCTAAATTTGTGGCCCAGATTTTGTAGAAACCTCCCTCTCATTAGATGAGGAACCATTGATGAGAAATACACTTTTTTTGGTTGATGGGTGTTTCCCAATCAGCTGTGAATCCACCTGGTGGTGCTATCACGTAACCCACATTTAAGCAAAATATCCAGTGCTTTATTGAATATAAGATAAATTGTACCCACAGCAACACCCCCCCCCAACAACAGTCCACTAGGACAGGAAATCAAAAGGCAATATTTGTAAAGATTTATCCTTGTCAGAACCATACCTTCTACTCATCACTGCAATTTTATCTAGATTCTTCCAAGCTGACCCCTTTCATATCTTTCCTAGTCTTTAAGCCAGACAGGTCATATTTCCCAAATTCTCCCTTTGCAAAAACATACGAAATTTTGATCTCTCTAACCTTCTCTTAATCATCAGAGATTCTGAGAGTACAGTGGTACCTCAGGTTACACACGCTTCAGCTTACATACGCTTCAGGTTACAGACTCTACTAACCCAGCAATATTACCTCGGGTTAAGAACTTTGCTTCAGGATGAGAACAGAAATCGTGCGGCGGTGGCGCGGCGGCAGCAGGAGGCCCCATTAGCTAAAGTGGTGCTTCAGGTTAAGAACAGTTTCAGGTTAAGAACGGACCTCCGGAACGAATTAAGTACGTAACCAGAGGTACCACTGTACATCAGTCCCTTTATGGATACAGTTGGCCCTGAAGCCTTCAATTCATTTTAGCTGACTACCTGTTCCTGGCAACCCGACTGTGGAGGCAGAACATGGGCACCTTGGCTGGTAGCCATCAATAGCCCTCTTCTCCATGAATTTGCCTAATCATCTTTTTAAAGCCATTTAGGTTGGTGGTCTCCTGCAGAAGGGAGTTCCGCAGTTTAACTATTCCTGCCAGCAAGAAGTTGCTACTTACAAGAATGATCATCTCCTCTGGTTTTTCCTTCATCCACTGCTGAAGGGTTTCTGTGGTGACCACCTCCACACCTGGGAACAGCCCTTTTACCCATTTTATCACCCGGGACCTCTTTTCTGATAGGTCTGTGATGCCTGCAGCCTCAATTTCTTTTAATAGCTGGTCTGCCATCATCAGGACCTAAAGCTCTGAAGGAAACGTGGAAAGCGGGTGCCAGCAGGAGACTTTTGACTGGGTGGCTCCAGAATAGTTAAGAGATCACGTGGAATTTATGGGACCAGCCTTGGCAAATAGAGCGACACAAGCTTTTCACAACATTGGGGGCATTTTGCGGGGGAATTCAAAAGGTGGCCCAAACAAGTCTGATATTTTTTAGCAAATATGCCAGTAAAATATGATAGTTTCGGGTGTCTGAAGCTTGTTCCCTACTGCTGTGCCCTCAAATTCAGACCTTCCCCCTCCCCCTTGGCAGACATAGTCTGAAACTTAGGTGAGGTGAAACATTAAATGCAAAGGGAGGAGGCACCAATGATAAAACTTTAACTTTGCTTTCCGGTATCAAAATCCCTGTGCCCTTTGAACACTTCAAAACCAGAGATGGGAGCCACGAGGCGGCGAAAGCAGGATCCAAATCACGAGGTAGAATAAATAAAACCTCTGCAAAGGAAAGTGAGATCTGAGCACAAGAACTTCTCCAAGTGTGGAGGCAGAGCATAGCTACTGACAGCCTTTATCCATGAATTTGTTTAATCCTATTTTGAAGTCATCTAGGTTGATGGCCATCACTGCCTCCTGTGGGAGTGAGTTCCACAGTTTAACTTTGAGCTGCACGACATACTCTCCAACATTCCTCAGCAGAATTACTTTCTTTTACCTGTCCTGAATCTTCCAAAGCCCAGCTTCATTGGATGTCCACTTTGCTATCATCCGTTCATTAACCCACCCTTCCTCCAAGCAGCTCAGGATAATCCACATGGTCCTCTTCCCCATTTTATCCTCACAACAACCTTGTGAGGATGGCAAGGCTGAGAGAGGCTGTGACTGAACGTCACCTAGGGAGCTTCATGACTGAGTGGTGATTTGAAGCTAGGCTTCCAAAACTCCTGACATAAAACTCTTCCTACAGGGATGCAGTGTGGACAGCATTGCAATGGGGACCACCTGTTTATGGAGCACTCATCCTGATTTGCTTGCATTGTGGCATCTGCTTGGCCCCTGTGATAACTTAATGCTGGACTAGATGGGCTAGTGGTCTGATTCAGCAGGCTGTTCTTATGACGCGGAATTAGGATCCCTGCTTGAGAGCTCTACAGAGCCTTGCAAATAGAAGCATTTCAGTTACTGGCAGCTGTGTGGAGCAGGCTTGTGGCATTGGACCTAACCCTGACTTTAGCAGAGAGTTAAGCCTGCCTGACTACTGAATCACAGATGTATGATCTCCCTTCTTTATTTTAGAACTGGGTTGGGCCTTCAAAGAGAGGGCTGTCCTCATTACAGGAAGGCGTCTGGCCACCCTGTCATCCTCACCATAGTAGGCTCCTGGAACTCCCTGCCACAAGGTACTACAATGATCACTGGCATGAAAAGGCTGTTATTTTAACAATCTGGACTCCTACTGGACTAGTGTTATTTTTCTTTTAGAGGCCTTAGCATGTGGGACACAGATCAGCCAACTAGAAACATATTTTACCCCTTCTGTGCCTCCTACCCATATTTTTTCCTGGTGTCACCACTGTTCATGGAGCTGGGAAGGCATTTTCCTGGCACTGCTACAGGTGCTGCATAACGCCCTGCTCTGCATTTGTAAGAAATCATTCTTTTAGTGTTGCAGCACCTTTGCACTTTGGAACTCCCTGCCTATTGAAATCAGGCAGGTGCCTTCACTTTACTCTTTCCGCCTACTAAAAATATTTTTTCCTTTAGGCAAGCCTGTCCAGATAGCGAAAATGCTGGCATGCTTTCGGTTTATTGCTGGTTTTTAATATTTTTTATGTTGTAATTGTTTTTTACTAAGAATCTTACTTTTTTTGTAAACTGCTTTGAGGGTTTTTAAAAAAATAAATAAATAAAAGTAGCACAATAATTTTATGAAATAAACAAATACATGCATATTCCATGGAACAAGCAACAGCCATAGCCACAGCCTGCCCCGCCCCTAATTCGACCCTCCCTTTTGGGACCTTCGCCAGGCCCAGAGCATACCCGTTGCCACGGCAACAGCGACATGCCGCCTCCGCCGCCCCAGAGTTTCCCAAAACGCACCGCGGCCGAGCTACGCTGCGCATGCGCAGCTGCTGCCGCTGCCGCCGCTATCGCCGACATATTGCTGTTCTGGTGGTGAAGCCGTGGAAGCAGTTGACGTCGTTATGGAGAGTGGTGAGTGTTTGAGCGGGGGGCGAGGAGGGAACCTGGGCCGGGCGGGGTCTCCCCTCGGCTGGAAAGGCCTCCGTTGGCTAGTCAGCGCATTTAAACCCAAGCCATGCAAAAAAAAGGTCGCGCTGTTCACTTGCGGAACTCGCTGCTGCGATGTGCGTGGGGTAGCCCACGGCAGGGAGACGGCCGCGGCCATTCAAAGACTGTTGGGCATGAGGGGAAGTCTGGAAGCTCCTCTGAATGCTAGTTATTGCTGCATGAGGGGGGGGCTACCCGCCTCCCTCCCTCCCTGGCCTTTTGGACTTACCAGCTGGCCACAAAAGCCTCGATATAACCCCCCCCACACACACTTTGGCCTGGTTCCCGGAAACCATCCTCCTCTGCCCGCTTTGAGAGCTGGGAGTGGAGCCTCCATGTGCAGTTGGAGCCTATCTCTGAGTGGCAGGGGCTAGGGGGAGCTCTGCTTGGGGGCTTCTGGGAGACACCTCCCTTGCCACCAGATGCTAGAATCTGCAGGAGGGGCGAGTGCTCTTGTGCTCAGGTCCTCCTTGTGGATTTCTCTCAGACTTCTGGTTGGACATTGTGAGAACAGGATGTTGGAGTAGATGGGCCATTGACCTGATCCAGCAGGCTCTTCTGATGTTCTCTAAGCATTTGGCTCTTTTTCAAATTTCTGGGCAGGGATAGCACTTGGGGGGTCCTAAACCTTTTTCGAGCTCTGTCCCACACTGAGCGACATTAGGTGGTGCATTTTCATTTCTTGTCTAATTCCACTCGCCTTTCTTCTCCTGTTTGCTGCATCAGATGATACTGGAAATCGCCTTCGCTTCCAGCTGGAGTTGGAGTTTGTGCAGTGCCTGGCAAACCCCAATTACCTAAACTGTAAGTACAGTCATACCTTGGGTTAAATATGCTTCAGGTTGAGCGTTTTCAGGTTATGCTCTGCGGCGACCTGGAAGTAACGGAACGCATTACTTCCGGGTTTCGCCGCTCACGTACGCGCAGACGCTCAAAATGACGTCACACGCATGCGTGGTGAAACGCGACCCGCAGTCGGGTGTTACGTTCTACTCAGGATGCGAACGGGGCTCTGGATCGGATCCCGTTCTCATCCAGAGGTACCACTGTACTCAAAACAAATCCTTGGTTAGTGCTAAAGGGCATATGGGGGGCCCTTCAGAAGTTGTTAGATTCTGCCTCCCACCAGCCCTTGCCAACATGCCAGTGGACAGGGATTATGGGAGTTGTAGTCCAGGAACATGTGGAGCACCTCCCCCCACAACCACAGGTTCCATGTCCCTGTCCCGTTAAACAAATGTTCACTAACGCAGAATATTTTAAAATTAATGAGAAAGGAAGGGGCAAACTAACAACTTGGGACTGGTTTACCTACAAGATTGCCTTACCTCACATGTGCTCAGTTGACCCCTTCAATTGGCAGAATTGACACTATTGCAGATGCCACATAATGCACACACTGCATTTGTGGGTTCAGCATGATGCGCATGTGAGCGGTCACATACACATTAAACATGCATAAATGGGGGGGGGGGAGAGTTCCTGTAAGTTTAATCAGTTTCAGTATTTTGACTTTTGTATGTTTTCAAGTGAAATTTTCTCGATTTAATCTTTTTCCCCTTGATTCTTTTTTTTAAAAAAACTGCTTTGAGGTATTATTATTTTTTACAATAAAGCAGTATATAAAGTTTATAAAATAAATACATAAAGTTCCAGCAACTTCTGCAGCCAAGCTGGTGCCAAACATATTCTGCTTTCCTTTGGACCACATCAGTGAGGCTGAGAGTGGGGTCTTGTCGTCTGGGCAGCATAGAACTGCCATACGCCCCGCCTAGGTTTGCACACCATGGAAGGTCACTTCAGTACTGCTAATGCAGCAATTTGACTTACCCTCAGAGATTCACTACATTTGTCTCTCAAGACAGACGGATGTCAACAAGATTTTTGTTTTATTTATTCACATGATTTGGGAAAGACCCACTAAACAGATTAGAGAATATAAAACATACAGGAAAACCCAAGTAAAAACAGTTATGGCTAAGATGGTTGAAATTAGAAAGCACTAGATGCATCCTTGACCAGATCCAGCAAAGGTGTTCTCAGTTTTCTGTAACAGCTTCAGTCTTTGTGTGACTTTATGGCTAAAATATAGGCTACGCATTTGCAGGAGTGTTTTGTGTATAGTTAAAGTTTATTCTGGTTGTACATCCTCTTTCCCCACATCTGTAGAATGGGAATAATGGTGACTAACTGCAGATTGCTGTGAGGATAAACAGGGAAAATCCACTTTTAAGTAAACTGATTTGTGTGTTTCTTCTAGTTCTTGCTCAGAGAGGATTCTTCAAGGACAAAGCATTCGTTAACTACCTTAAATACCTGCTCTACTGGAAAGAACCAGAGTATGCCAAATACCTAAAGTAAGAGTTACGATTGTGTATCTTGCTGTGTTAAACAAGCTTGGGGCTTATTTGGCTATCTGAAAAAACCCCACGAGTAGCCCTCTGAACTCTGCAGTGGTTTTGAAGGGTAGGCCTGACAAGTCATTGTCCCAAACTGCCACAACCTTTCTGGGGCCTGTACTATGTCATTTTTTCCTGAGTTCATAGATCTGGTTTTTGATTGTTACAAGTGGCGCACAAGACTCAAGGGTTTTCTGTCTACCCATCACTTGCTCAAAGTACAAATGTGTGCACCACCCCCTTTAATGCATGACAGAGTTGAAAAAAATTGCTCAGTGTACTGAGCTGGAATTTATACCAGTGCCCTGAGAGAGTCTCCAAGTCAGTGAGCTAAAGGCAGATCAGTCTGCATGACATGTGAGGAAAAGGGCTCTTGTATTTACATTAATTTTATCATGGGGCAGATAAAAAAAGATGCTTGAAAAATAAAATTGGCTAAAAAATCCAGTTACATTACATGTCCCTTAATATAACTTGGTCTAAAATGGTATCTGAATATAACATAAACATGTGAAAAGTCTACACTCATAATCTCTTAAATGGGTTCAGTTTAGACAGTCTTCCCAATAGCGGTTTCTAGAGGGAAAGTGCCAGACCAGGCTTTGCATATTTGGACATTCTGACAAACTTTGAGTAGCTGAAAAATGTAAATGCAAAGTATAGCTGTTTAGGAGGGTGGTGGGGGCACTTTTGGTGTGTTTATAAGCTCTCTGTCCTTGCTTCCCAAGCAAGAACCTATCTATGCGCAGACTATGCATTTGTCTTGTAAGATTTCAACCAACTGGACTTCCAACTGTGTATTATTGCAATTGTGCATATTAAATGCACATAAGACATGATCATACTGTATTTGTCTGGCAGTCCGGATATGTTTTAAAAGCCTCTTCTAATGTGTGTATGGCCCTTCTTTTGTCACAAAGGTACCCCCAGTGCCTGCACATGCTGGAGCTGCTGCAGTATGAGCACTTCCGCAAAGAGCTGGTCAATGCCCAGTGCGCCAAGTTCATCGATGAGCAGCAGATCCTGCACTGGCAGCACTACTCTCGCAAGCGCATGCGCCTCCAGCAGGCCCTGGCAGAGCAGCAGCAGCAACAACAGCAGCAGAACAGCACCTCTGTGAAGTGAGCCCATTTGGCATCCCCAGTGAGTGCAGGAGGGACAGTTGCAGTGGTGGCACCACTCTGGAATCATCCAAGCATGGGGCTGCCTTGGCTGAGCAGCCACAGCACAAAATAGTCACCCTGGGGGATCTCAAAACCTCTTATGGATCCTCTGGCTTTGCTTTACCAGAGGCTGCATAAACAGCTTCTTTACGTGTTGGATGAAGTAGCAAGAAGTTCTCACCCCCTCCAGATGTAAAGTTCTCACTGCATTTCCCAAAAGACACTCAGTGGAAAGGTGGGTGATTTGGGTTGGTATGTCTGTCTCTTTCTGTGTGTGTGTGGGTGTGCGTGCATGTATATATATAAAATCCCTTTGGTGGTAAGTTTTTAGCACATTATTGAGAGCAGCAAATAAAGAGACTTAAAAGCTCATCAGTGTGTGCTGGGTTTGTATTAGTCCATGGATAAATAAAAGCCTGTGAGCTGCATCTTCCTTTTGACAAGAGCTCTCAGATCTATAAGTGATCTGTTTTAAAAAAGCATAAGCAACCCCATCTGCATTAACTGGCTAAATTCATCGCTGGAGTGCAAGATGTAACTGTGTAAGATGTAACTGGTCAGTGAGAACCACTTCCAGCTGTGTGATACAAAATCCTCTGTTGCGTTTCATACTTAAGCTCAGTGGGGATGTGATGGGCTATAACTTTCTGCAGGTTTTCAGCCAAAAGTGGCATGTGATGCTTCTAAAGGCAGTGCCATTCCATAGCAAGAGCTAAGCAACAGACTTTGCTGTTGGTCTGCCTTGTTGATTTGAGGACACTGGCTACTTGTGAAATCAAGGAGGAGCAATTTTGTGTATTTCAATCACGTCCCTTTCAAAAACCACCTTTGTCTGAGACCTTTTGACTTAAATTTTTGTTTCCCACTTGAAGTTTCATTGTAGTTGCTGTCTCCATTTTTCCTAGCCTTACTTCTCCCCTGTTGTCTGACTTTGATTGTAAGATCCTTGAGGGCAGGGACCTGTCTTCTTGTTTATAAAAACCCTGTGTCCTTCACATTGTTAACACATCACATATCGGCTTCAGTTTGATGATACACTATTATAGGATAGTACTCACAAAATCAAAGAAAATTTTATTTAACATAATTGGCTTGCAGGCTGCAAACTTCATTTGTCTGTATTTTAAGACATGATTGGTCTCCTCTCAAGGAATTCTGGTCAGGTCCTCAGCTGGTAGCAGCAAACTCTTTTCATTAGAGCGGAAACAACTTAGTCTTCTGTGAACAGCATCCTCACGAGCTCTGGTTTAAAGCATTCCTGTTCCACCAACTTCTGAGGCTGAAACAAACATTGTACTGTAAATGGTTAAGAAAAGCTGCAGGAGATTAAAGTCCTCCTGTAAGTAAGTATCCCTTCCTGCTTTGGCACACTGCCAGGCTTTTGAATAAGCTACACAGCTTGAATTCCACACTGACTACAAGGTTGCTTTATATCTTTCTAAATGAGCAGCTTGGCACCTAAAGGGAAATGTTGTGAAACATTTAATCATTGGTTAACAAGTGTGTAGCAGAGTCCAAAGCTAAGTCATGCAGGGATCTTATTTTCCAAGTCAAATTGGCTCCAGCTACAAGTGCTGAGAGGTAATTCAGCTGTAACAAGAGACTAACTTAATGGTCTTTACTCATGTTTACTTGGGAGTTAGTCTGAATCTGGTGCTCTGAACACAGTGGGTCTTCATACTGAGTACATAAACAGGAGCGGAATCTTTTTTTAAAAAACAAAAACTGCATGGATTTGTAGACATTTGCACAGTTTTTCAGGAAGCATAAGAGCACAGCTCTAAAGAGACAGTTTTAAGAAACAAGAAAAATTGTTTGCAATACTCGAAAAATCAGCACAGAGCCCTCCGACCATGTCAATGTGGATTCCAAGCCATCATTCCTCACATTTGGAAATACTTACAGTCCCATATTTAAGTAGCGTAGGCACTCCAGTTAAGTGAAGATTCTTTCTGAATTCATTGTTGGGATCTTTCCAACTGTGTGGGGGGGGGGATAAAAATGGGTAATAGTTTTAAAAGGCATTAGGTTAAAAGGCATGAAGGTTTTGAGGGAGGGGGGAATTTCATTAAGATTAATCTGTGAGGATTAATTACTTGTGACCTGGGAGGGGGGAGGAGTCTCACCTTAAAGGCTAAATGCCCTGAGAAAAGGAGAGGTGGCGCAGGGAATATTTCCAGACCCCAAACCTTATGGTTTGGCCAGGCAGTCCAAGCGCCCCCTTCTGGCAAAGAGAGAGATTGGGCATTCTCAGTTGTAACCACCACCTCATTAAATGCACTCCTCAATGAAAACCAGAATAAAATATTTTCAATGCCAATCAGACTTCTTTCTCAGGCATTTGAAAGTTAATTTTTATCTGCTGTTTTGGAAGACATTTCTATCTGGTTGATTTTAATAGAGATCATGTAGGGGTGTGTGTGTGCCTGTAGCTTGATTATTGCTTCTTGGTGGCCAAATCAAATTCCTTATGTAATTTTTCATTTTGACTAGATTTCTTTTATTGTGAGTCACCTTGATACTGTTTGGAGTATAATTATGACAGTGATCATAATAATTATACCTCGTTAGAGAAAGAAGTGACTTCCAAGCAAACCTGTACAAGCAAGGCTGTATTTGAACCAGGATAAATTAAGTGTACATTCTGGTGTGAATAGGTGCAACATGGGAGGGGGCCAACATGGTGGGTTGTCTGTCCTGATTTCTGCCACACCCAGCCCTAAAAGCTGGCAGAGCTTACTTAAAGGGCCTTTGCATGAACAAAGCCCAGCACTGGATTGGCTTCCTGCTCAAAATCCGTACTCTGGTTGCTCCCCAACTCGCTCCATGTTATACTTACTAAGCTCTTTCTCCTACTTGGCAGTAAATGAACACTGATCCTTCTGGCAGGTGCTTGAGCTCTGCCCGCACAATGGGCTCCGCTGAAAGAAAGCAAAAGCAGCCTGCTTACCAACCCATCTGATCACGCCGGACACTCCTAACACACCCTGAAACTACCAGCAACCCCCTCCTCTCCCTTGCATGGAGCCCAATTGGGGCTGGATCATTCCTGTTGGGTTCACAGCATGGGGGCTTTTTGGGTAGCCATAACACTTTAGAGTGCATTAATGTGCATCAAGGGTGTTATCTCAAATCACTGCTTTACTGCAGTGGTTCCCAAACATTTTGGGGCCATTGCCCCCCTTGGTTCCATAAATTAATCACCAGAGCCCGCTACCCAAAACATTATTCAGAACACTGGTTGGCATGACCCACGAAATAATTCAAAATGAGAAAAAAATGCACATTTGTTAAATATCCAATTAAAACTAGTTGAATTAGTTCAGCAATACTGATGAACTTGATCCAGCGATACCAGCTTTTCAAAGCCTGATACCCATTTTCACCTCCAGCGCCCCCTGCCTCATCGCTTCCCTAGGGAAAACCCACACCTCAGGTGGTGTAATTCTGCATGCAGCATGCAGTTTTAGACTGGTTCCCCTCCCTCCAGCCAGTAAACAGTTTAGAAATGACTTTTACGTGAATAAATAAAACGAATCTGCACAACAGCCTAGTAAGGTCGGCCGGCGTTATTGCACCCATTTTACAGAATGGGGCGGAGGAGGAAGACTGAAGCGCAGAGAGGGAGGGGCATGATTTGGAGCAGAGGCTGCCCCTCCCTCATGCAAACATGCAAATTTGTACATATCAGGAGGAGGAGGAGGATGCCGCACCAGTGACGCAGTCCGGGCACCAGCTGGTGCTGGTCTGCGGGTCCTTCGTGCCGCTGAAGTAAGCGAAGATCTGCCGGTCGCGGCGCTCCTGGACTGCGGCCGAGAACTCCTCGTAGCCGCTCACCGCCACCTCTTCGTAGCCTCTCATGGCGGACCGACACGCGCGGAGTCCGGCAGGGAAAAGCAGACCCGGAAGGCGAAAGTAGACCAGGAAGGCTCCGCCCACCGAGGGGCGCGGTCACGACGGCGGCCGCGCGGGGACATGCAAGCAGGTCCTCCTTTCCCTTGCACTCGGGAATGTGTCTCGTCGGCCGCCGTACTTCCCCAGCCGTTTCCCGGCGGCCTTCGCGGCGCGCGGTTCCCAGGGAAACCATGGAGAGAAGAGGGAAGCGGCGTCGGCCATAGCGCGGTTTCTCTTCGGCCGCCCGGCGGCGGCGGCGGCGGCGGCATTACTGCTGGTGGGGTCCGCCTCGGCCTCTTCCGAGGGGGGGGGGCGAGGAAGGCAGGCCGGGCCCGACACCTCGCCACCCCCACGCATTGGCCGCAGGGCTCCCTGGTACGTGCGAAGGAGGTCGGGGAGGGAGAGAGATAGACTGCTCCTGCGCATGGAGGCTTCCTCCGCTTTCCTCAGCCGGCCAGTTTGTGCTGTTTCGCCCGGTTGACCCAGTGGGGTGTGTTGCATCTGCTTGCGCTTTCCGTCTAGCACAAGGGTGATAGCGGCTGGGCCTCATGTCCTGCGCACCCGCCACCTCACCAGCTGTCCGTCGTCAAGAGACACAAAGAGTTTGCAGCGACCCTGTGGGTGGGACCTCGGAGGCTCGCGAGGGAAGCAGCCCATGTGCAGCCAGGAGTCCAGGTCAAGCAGGGAGCTCCCAGTTCCCCGGGCAACTACAAGAGGCTGTGTCTTTTTAGGGGGCAGGAGTCAACCGAACACTCCTATGTAGTCCAACCAGCATGGGATATGGTAGGGGCCACTTTGCCTCCATATAAAGGGGCTGGCTGCCTTTGCGTTTATTTTGTAGCCAGCAGCTTCTGATAAGCTGGGGAGACAGTGGCCAGGCTCTGCCTTCTGCCCAGGAGGGCCCAGAATAAAGTACTGGCTGTCCTGCTGCCCCACGCAGAGAGGAAGCAGCCTGTTGCTTGTGTCCATTTGAGCCCTCTGCCGTGCACTGTGAGGTTGTGGGACATGGATACCAGCTTCTTCTTAAAGTAGCCCTTCCACAGATCTGGTAACTGAGCAGGCACAAATGCCAGGAGGCAGGGCAGGAGGAGCTGCAGGTCACCTGCACCTTCTTTCTCATGGAATTGTATAGAAGGAATCTTTATGGGTGCCTTCTGCAATGTTGCTTTCTCTTCCTACTTCTCCTCTTCTTCTTAATGGCAATACAAAGTGCAGGAGGCAGCCTTCCTCTTGAATACTAGACCCTGGAGCCAAGGTGTGCAACAGGAGAAGTTGTGCCTTCATGATTTCCTTGTTGCAGGCTTTTCCAGGGACTCCTAGTTGCTGTTTGGGGTCAGCAACTTTGTACCTCGTCAGCCCTTATTTCCATTTCTCCTTTGAGCATTTTATGTGCTGAGGCAGCATTTTGGGAGAGTGGGTTGTGCATCTGGGCAGGCTTAGGAAATTTGTATCTTCTTTTGCCTGAAAGGTGAACAGTAAGAGAATAGTCTTGAGAAAAGTGAGCATATGCTGGTGGCAGTTCTTCCCCCTCCATTTTCCTTTTTAAATTTAATCGAGTTAGCAAAATAAGTACAGGCATAATAAAAAGAGAACTAATAATCTAACTGATTTAAACCATAAAGTGTCACAGCCTGGGAGGACAAAAGTACAAAGATATAGCACAGCTCCAAAGAGGAAGTAAAGTACAAACTCATTTTACTTCATTTTTGTAAATCTTTACTATTTGTATTCTCCACCTGTGAGTTCCATTGTTATTGAGAATAAAGGTTTTATTTAGTCTTAAATGAGACAGATAGTTGTATACATTGATGGCACTGAGTGGTCATGTGCCTTAATATTTGTAAAACAAAACCATGTCATATATAAAATAAGATCATTTGAGCCCTTTAGATATTTATCGTTTATGAGATATAATGCATTCTGGTGTCAGTTCTTATATTTTCATTTCCTCTCAGTATTTCAGCAGTACCCTCATAG